GGCTGAAAGGGCGAGCATGTTTGGTGTGATGGGGATTCGAACCCGCGACCCTCAGATTGCGAGTCGAGCGCCTTAACCACCTGGCCATGCCGGGCCGAGCTGCATGGAATCTCTAATAAGTGTAATATGCAAATTATTATTAGTTGTTGTTGTTTTGAAGTTAAGCACAAAGCTACACAATGGGCTATCTGTGCTCTTCCCACCACGGGTATCGAAACCCGGTTTATAGTGTTGTAAGTCCGCAGACATGCCGCTGGGCCACTGGGGGACCAAATTATTAGTAAAATCATTTTGATTTGAAAAGTCGCTAATTTAGAGCCTCAACGAAACAGTAAAGTTTAATGACAAATAACACCCTATGCCTTATGGGGCAAACAAAATGGAGGTAAAAAACGAGCTTCGAAAAATATCGATGTAACAAAAAGTGCCATTTGCAAATAAGGAATTGCTTATTTTCTGGATCTTTGATTCTCTTGTCAACAACTCACTTTCATAAAAAAATAACCTGAGAAACGTATTTTTTAGAAAAATAAAAATGCTTATTTCTTACTTAAATTCTGTTAGCCCCAGTTTGTGTATGCCACCTGACGATGCCAGGTAAACCTGGCGAAACGATGTGAATAAAATAAACAAAAGTTTTACTAAGTTCAACCAATAAAAACTTGTGTGAATTTGAAAAAGATGGTTCTTTCTTATATTTAATTCACGTGACTAAAATTATAGGGAAATAAATGTATAAATTACTTTATATGTGGGGTGGGCATCTTTTGTAGTTACTTACGTCACTGGCTGATATCTTCGCTGTTTTAAAGAAAAAATAACGTGAATATATTCTTAGAGTATCTAAACAAACAACACATTTGCTTTAAGTTTACGATTGAAAAAAATGACTCAAATTTGTCTTTTTTTAGATCTAGATATCAACAACTTTGAATCAGGAACGTATCATAAACATAATTGTATATTATGAAATCTAAGGATAACTTGATAAGTATGTTATTTTGAAAATTGTATATTATCAAATCTAAGGATAACTTGATAAGTATGTTATTTTTGAAAATTGTATATTATCAAATCTAAGGATAACTTGATAAGTATGTTATTTTTGAAAATTGTATATTATCAAATCTAAGGATAACTTGATAAGTATGTTATTTTTGAAAAGTGTATATTATCAAATCTAAGGCTAACTTGATAAGTATGTTATTTGTTGAAAATTGTATATTATCAAATATACGGATAACTTGATAAGTATGTTATTTTTGAAAATTGTATATTATCAAATCTAAGGATAACTTGATAAGTATGTTATTTTTGAAAATTGTATATTATCAAATCTAAGGATAACTTGATAAGTATGTTATTTTTGAAAATTGTATATTATCAAATCTAAGGATAACTTGATAAGTATGTTATTTTTGAAAATTGTATATTATCAAATATACGGATACCTTGACATGTATCTTATTTTAGAGTATATCGTATTGCTAGTGACTATTATCATTTTCACAAATAAATAAAAAAGTGTTTAAAGTGTTATGCTTAAAATAGTTTCATCCCTCTATAGTTGACAGCATTTTAAAATATTTTTAAATGGTGTGTACACGCCTTCATAAAGTTAATTATGGTGTGTTTACCATTCTAAGCGTCTCCCATTTATGTTAAAAACAGTTATGTTTGATAAATAAAATTCAAAAAAACATCTTGAAACCAAACTATTCACAAATGTGGAGTTTTCATGATAAAAAGACATAATCAATAACCTTCAGAGTTATTCCCTTGTTTATCGATATATTTGTTCCCGAAATGAACAAGATTATGTGGGAAAATCCCAACTTCCACCCATTTTGAGTTGTTAAGAGCGAAATTACGTAACTTGTATTTTTATGACTGACATGAATTCTTTATTTTTTTGTCCTGTCAAAGCGCGAGTTTGTTATTAC